GTACATGCCATCATTTGGTGCAGGAACTCCAGCGTATCAGGTGCTACATGGCATTGTGATAGACAAGAGATTGCTGAAGGACATGGCAGGGCTGACTAAATTCTGCCACACAGGATTACTGGAGGTGAGATTCCAATACTACAACACACACACAACATGCCAGCAACACATCTCTACGTGTAGGAAAACCGAGCGCCCAAAACGAAAGTACTATTATGGAGTACACATACATGTAGGTTCTGACTTTCTTCGTGCACATACTAGGGTAGGTAAGTAGCTCAATACCCCCCCCCCCCCCACCACCACCAAAAAATAAAATAACCACTGCTTGTTTTATACGTGTGCCCTTGTGCAGGTGTATCACAGCGTCATGACGAAGTATGTCCCAAAGAGAATACACTTCTCTGTGGACGGCATGATCGCTCGAACTCAGTTGGCAGCTCTGGACCATAACTCTAATGTTGGACGCCAGCACAGCAAGACAGCATCAGGACAGGAGAGATACAAGGTGCAATTTTCTCGGCAGAAAGGAGATTATGTTGGCAAGAAAATGTATGACCGCAAGAGCTACCAGTTCGTGGAGCAGCTAATGGCTGATGTTGTGAAAGTTGCACGTCGCAACTTGGATGTTGCCAGCTTGCCTGAGCGTCCACACTTGCCAATATCACGACAAGAACCTCCACAGAAGACTGACATTGTAGAACGCTTGCGATCTAGGATGGGCAAGGAATAAACACAGGGTGCGTAATTTCTCAATGTGCTTTTGTGTATCTGAGTACTTTTATTGCAAAGTAGCATGCAGCATTTACAAAATACGAGTACATGCAAATCCGTCACTTCAAAAAATGTGCTAATAGTGTACACAATTTTCTGCCAATGGGAGAAGTTCGAATTCAATTATACATGTAAGCAGTCAGGGTAGTGAACAGCGAAATACAACATTTAGTAATATTTACTTACAGGTCAGTCATCTGGCCATTGCACCGGTTCGTCCTCCGCTTCTCTGAACCCTTGATATGGCTCTCCTAGAAACATCCATAAAATAGAAAGCGCACACATGACAACAACTCGCATATATCAACATAATTATTATCTTGCCCTTTTGAATGTCGTTATTCAGAAGGTTCGCAGCATGGTAATTTTCTATGTTGTGCTTGTATCCATTTACCTTCAGGATTGGGATACTTTGCTCGTATGACGTTGACGGCGCAGGACAGAATCCGACAACGGACATGTCTGCCCAGTTTCCCATGTATGAACAGCGTGTACTGTCGATAAGCTGCATAGCGCAGCGACCTGCAGTTCAAGGACAGAAGATTGTCCACATACGAACAATGTTCAGCTCTTGTGTCGTGTTCTGCTCGGTGTGGATGGTGATCAGAGCCAGAAAGAGAGAGAGAGAGAGAGAGAGAGTGTGCGTCGGGGGAGGTGGGGGAGCATGACCATTTGTGCACACACACACACTTTTGTCCATGTGTGCACGCAAGCGCGTGTGCAGATACGCGCGTGTGTGTGTGTGGGGGGGGGGGGGGGGGGTGCAAGCGCATAATTATGTGCACAAATTGTATTCACAATCATGAATGACAGAGAGCTTTTTGTGTATTGAACAGGACGATGTCATGCTAATTATCGGATACCATGCACTGCATGCTGCTGCCACTGCTAGACTGCAAAGAATAAGGTGGTATGTGTGCATACACAGCAAGGGGGAATACGAGGGAACTTCTCAAATGTGATTTTGTACAAGTATAATGACAACCTGAGGTGATAATGTATCGCCACAATGCTAAGGCCAAGGGAGGTATCCTGCACTTATGTCAAATACTCGTGCAGCACAAGTACGACATGCATGGAGAAAATGCTTGCCCTGCTATGTAGCAAACTTCATGTACCTGGATCATGGGGTGAGGGGACTAGACTATTGTACGAACACAAATTTTTCACAATTCAGGGCGTGAAGAGAACGATTCGATTTTGTACAGTACGTAGAGCCCTAGATTGTTCAAACACTTACCTATTGTCAGGTTCGTCAGATAGCTGCTTTGGCTGCTGCTTCATTTCGAAGTACCCTCGCCAAGCGGTCGCCAGAACTTGCTGGTGGAGCACGACAGTCTCGAAGTCTGGTATCTCTACAACACATCGAACTCCGTGCTCCCGAGTTTTCTCCAGAGTAATGGCTGCGTCCTGGCAGCAGCTACAATCCAGCCGTTCTGGCATTGCACGGCACTTACTGCAGTCACACCACTCGGTGTTGCCCAGCCGGTTCAACGGAGGCCACAAGACGTCACCTACTGCAGCCATTTCTGCCTCGTCCTCGTTCACTTCAAAATCAGCCTCCGCTTGCGCCGCCAACTCCATTTCTGAAAATTTCGGCTCTCGCCCGAAACCAAACATTTCCAGATCAGGCTCACCCAAGCAGTCCAGGTCGTCTGATGCCTCGGAATCGCTCATTCTGCAGGCTTCTTCTCCTCCAAACTATACTTTCCAACACAAATTCAGCTTGTGCTCTGATCTCGGCCCAAGCACTCAAGTCTCAATGACGTAGGAGGGCGTTTTGGGGGGGGTGTCGCGGCCGCATGACGTCATGGCGCGTCCCCCGAAAGGACAATTTGAAAGTGATATATCTCATGAACGCTTGGTCTGATCGAAGTCGGACCTTGACCATCCGACTCAGCGCCCAAAACTCTACGGACCCTGAAATTTTGATTTTTGGGTGTAGTTCCCCTTTAACAAGTCGTCGGGAACTCGAGTTTGGTCTAGTGTAGGAGTAAACAACTTTCTTATTACATCATAGGCAAACAATGGCGGATCCGGAGATCTCTTCAGGGTTTCCAGTTTATGCAAAATGCTGAAAATGAGTATTGACAGCTACATATGTCTATGAGTAGTGTAGGCTCTCGAGTGTTACGTGTGGCTTCTGATATCACATTGCACACAGGAAATCAATAGTTTTATGCACAGTGGTGACACACAGGCAAACATTGTAATGCTGGTAACCATGGCAATACCAATACTTCAAAAGAACTGGAAGCAAGAGTAAACCTCAAAGAGTCCGTAATTTTAAAAAAATAGACCGTAGGATGCACCCAGTGTGCTGACAGTGCTCAACACCGCGGAGGCATTGTTGCCGGATGAATATGAAAGCATGAAACTTGAAGTAGCGACAAACAAGCCTTGATTGGCCGTGTTGTTCTGTAATTTTAAAATACTTCCTCCGCATCATCGAAATTGTTGCAGTTTGACTAGTGACTTGTCACTTGTTACTGACAACTCCATAAGCTAAACCATTCAAAACTTATTACACAGTATGATAGTCTGAAGACTAGAGTAACGTTCCAGGACAGTTGGACTGAGAATTTTCATGCAGAGATGAAGTCCTCGTCGTCGCTGATGTCAATGGACGCAAAAATATCGTTCCGAAATATTTCAAGGAAGGCTGAAAGTTGGTCGCGCCTCATCTCAAACGCTTTGACTTTCTCCACAGGACAAGAGCTGCTATGCTTGTCGTCTGCTAGCCCTGGATGATTTCTACTTCACCACCAACGAAGCCCAGTAAGAATACACGAGCGTTGCGAGGTCGGTTGATTACCGTCGGCGCAATCACCTCGATCTTGAAATGAACTTTTTTTAGCCGTGGCATGCCCATTTATTTTAGCTATGTGGTCAGTGCTACTGCCTACTGTTGGTCACAGCTCAGGCAGGTAAGTGTATTATCATATCCAGGGCGCCCTCTTTTTCAGCATCACTGGTATACCATGGTATGGTACGGCACCTGCGTGTGCATCACTAGCACTACGTGTAAAGTCTACACGGCTCTTGCAGGTACAATCATGTACTGAGTGTTTCAGCCAGAGCGACGAATTTTATCGCTGTTACAGGCATTTAGTTTGCTGACCCCTCGATGTTTCTCCAAGCGCTGCCACTTGTTCCACGAAGTCATTCTCACACCATCTAAGGTAAAACAGTGATGAGGCTTGAGTGAATGGCCATAAACACGAGAAATATGCAGGCTGCAACGCCTGACTGATCTCAGCGAGTCGAAATTACCATCGCAGCGACATCAGCGAAGAAATTGCGTCTAGTTCAAAAATTCCAGCTTCCGGTAACAGAAAAGAACTTTGCAGTCGCCCTATACTGATAACTATCGCCTATGTCCGATTCCTTGCCTCTGGTACGAGTGCTGGTGTGTAAATACCCCGTTTTATATCAAAAGTCAAACTGCGACAATTTCGATGACGCGGAGGAAGTAGATAAAATAAACCCCACCCAGGAGTGCTTAGCCACCCAGGAGCTCTTAAAACCACCCAAGAGTGCACAACTTTATAGACACGGTCCTTGATGGCATAGCTCACATCACGTGGTCCACAGCTACTGCAGCTATGTGGTGTATTCGTGCAGATGCAACATGGGTCATTGTGCACATTTTTTTTTTACTAAAAAACACAGCCCTACTAATAATCAGGGGAAGAGGACAACTGAAATGACACTGGACAACAAGACAAAGGGGAGTAGGGGCGATGTGCCGATGTGGTTGGCGAGGGTCATCCGACCGGAGGTCTCGGAATCATAGCCTACGACCAGCATAGTCCAGGATTTGTTGATTTGCTGAAGATGTTCTCCCCCTTCCGCCAGAGATTGCTTTCATTTCGTTGTTTTTTGTTCACTATAACCCCATGGTTAGCTATGAAGGGTGACAAGAAAGTGTTCGACCTGGCCCAAAAGAAACCGTATATCACTGGTTTCTTGTTTCTAATTGTCACAATATCCACACTGCAAATGAATGTATTTCACTCAGCAATGGCTCGAGTGTCATCAATCCACCTCAGTAGAAGGTTTTCATCTAGCCAGTCTAGCACATGGTGAGACTTCTCAATCTAAAATGGCCAAAGCTTCAATGTAATTACAGCTTCACACTCTTGCCACAGGGTATGATGTATCTTGGCAACAGAAGTAGTGCTAGAAGCAAAAGGGTAAGACAAACTAATCACTAATCAGCTTACTTGAACACGGTGGTTGTTATTATCAGTGACCAGGACGTGTCCATGCCTATCCTCAGCAAAGTACCGAGGGCACTTGAACTGACCATCTGACTTTCCGTATGATCCGAACATGGTAATGAAGTTTCCATCATTAGTGAAAACCTGCATGAAAACGAAATGTATTTAAAACTCTACACTGTGATGACTATGTCCTTCAAGAGTTCAATACTGTGTACAGGTCCTCCCTCGTTACTACATAATCTATGGCAAGTTGAGACATAGAAATGTCTTATAACGAGACTTATCTTATTATTACACATCGACGCACACACACATACACATACATACACACACACACATACACACACACACACATACACATACACACACACATACACACATGCACACACATACACACACACACACACACACACACACACACACACAGGCCCACACACACGCACACATACTGTTGGAACGTTCTCCATTTGTTAGTGTTTGTCTTCGTTTAACATGTATATTACTCAGTATGTCGTAATTGGACACTGCTCGATTATTCTTACCTTGTGCGTTTCACTATTTGTAACGTGGCTCCTCTGCTTCAGTTTTCGTTCTATCTCTCTGGCAGGGGCAACCACCACCCGTCTGGTGGGTGCCAGCATCCTCCGGCAGTTGCGCTGGGACTCTACGATACATTCTTGTTCTTCGATAATTAGAAATCTGCCTTTCTAGTTCTTCGCTGTTTGAATTATTATTTATTTGTGTTGTTTCTTGCGGCACTCGCTTTTGTGTAGATTTGACCTTTTTGCATGTCCGCGTGAGTACAGATGACATCATGCATTATTTTCTGTCACGTGTTTTGCTTTGAGCGTGTCGTTCAAGATGTTTGAACTGCGCCCGCTGGCCGATTTTCTTTGCTTGCTGTTTTCTTTGCCAGTCAAGCGTGGGGACGCTACGGTGTCGTCCTTCTTGGCTGTGTGTCCGGTACGGGGCCGGGTACGTGCGTCCCCAGCTCTCCGTTCTTTGTTCTTTTTGAGTTAGATTCTTCAATGGTGTTTTGAGAACATGTTTGGTAATACAGTCTTCTAAATAGTTCGATGCTTCCAATGGTTGTGTCTGATGCAAGTGTGGGTTTGCGAGGGAACCGGTGAAACATTTGGTCCTTCGAGCCGGATCCGACAGGTTTCGACTAGTACTAGTAGTGTCAGCGGTGGTAATGGCGTTTCCGCCACCACCAGAGTTTGTGACTCGTAGTTTTACGCCACGCCATTATCAGGCGCGTGCTCGGCGATGGGCACGGGGGGCACGTGCACCCCCCAAAATTTTTCAATCTGGGTAATTGCAATTGTAGTGTATGCAAATATGCTCTAAAATTCAAGAAAGGTTGCAAACAAATTGCAGAAAATTGCCGGGGGGGGGCTCCCCTCGGCGCCCGTGCACCCCCCTAGTTGGGGGGCCGAGCACGCCCCTGATTATGGTACGAGCGTGGGTGAAACTCCTGTTGAGGAACTTGAGGACCGCTGGAAAGAGTTGATTCGTCGGAGAACAAACCTCCGTAGACGCCACACGCGGATCAGTAACCGCTTGCGAACTCTGATTGCTTGCTCGTCGCCGTCTCGCCGATATTTGCAGCCTGATGTCCGTGAATTAGAATTTGTACGGTCAGAGCTGAATTCGGTTTTAGAAATTATGCGCAGCATGTTGGAATCCCAAGAGAGTGAGCAACTGCTGAATGAGTTGGACGAGTGGGAGGCGAAGTTTGATAAGGAGAGTGTTGGTGTGATGGCTGCTGCTGAGGCGATCTTGGATTCGCCTGTTGAGTCGGTTTCTGGCCAAGTGGCATCAGGCCAACAATCAGCAGTCGCAGAACAGGTTACCCCTGTGCCACCGTCAACACCACCGCACATGCGGCCTGTGCCACCTCTACCAGCACCACGCACACGGCCAACACCACCACCAAAGCCAAGTAGTCTGAGCAGCAGACTAAGTGTGACGTCAGTTGGTTATAGTGCTCCTGCCAGTAGACTTTCTGAGTGGTCTCCTCTAACGGAATCTGCTGTCGACCCCCATGTTAGCGATTGGCTTGCCAGTATGCAACGGCCACATGGAGTAAGCGCTTTTCACCATCTGAAGCCACTAGAGCTGCCCAAATTTAGTGGCAGGACCCAGCAGTTTGTACGGTGGAAACAAACATTTAAGCGCCTCGTGGACGAGGACCGCTTCGTCTCTGACGAATATAAACTGGCACGACTGAAGGAGGCCCTGCAGGGTAGCTCGGCCGAAGACATTATCGCGGATATGTTCGACGGTCCGGGTGCATACACTGCAGCCTGGACGGAGCTTGAGCGCTGGTTTGGTGGTTCCGATCGCCATCTTGCCTTGCAAGAGAGAGAGATTCTGAATCACCCACGCATTGCCTCTGACAGGGACACCGAGTCTGTCCGGAAGTTTGCTGTCAAGCTCAGAAATGTGCTCATGAACCTGGACTTGGCTGGAGAGACCCCTGGTAGGGAGCTATTCCTAAGTGCGCTGGAGAAGCTACCCAGAAGTGTAGTTATACGATTTTACGAACAACATCCAGACAGCAAATGCAACGCAACCACGTTGTCGTTCTGGCTGGTAAAACGGGTCCAGAACGCTAAGCGAGCCGATGACATCTTGGCGACAGTCGGCACAGAGAAGTTGAACAAGACACCTCCTGCGGTCCCGCCAAAGCCTAGGTCATCTGCTGTGTATGCTGTGGAGCTCAGTACTCAGCAGTGTGCCAAGTGCAGCAAGAGCCATGCCACAGCAGAGTGTCCGGAATTCAGGGCACTGACAACCAAGCGCCGCTGGGACCTGGTCAAGCGTGCCAAGCTGTGTAGCTGTTGTTTGGAGCATGGACACTGGGCGCGTGAGTGCCAGAAGCTGGAACGTTGCCACTGTGGAGAGAGGCACCACTCACTTCTGCACTACAGCAAGTCAGTGCAGCCACAAGCTGCAGCGCAGAATCCAGCTACGATGCGACCAGCAGCTACGGCACCTCGGCAGGAAAGTTCTCACCATGCTAGTGTCAGCGTGCCGCAGACTACCGCTTTCGCTACCGTGCCAGTGAAGATTATTGGCCCAACTGGCAAGTCGGCAATCTGTACGGCCATGCTGGACTCAGGCTTGACTGCAAGCTTCATACGGGAGGATGTAGCCCATGAGTTGGGCATGGCAGGTGAAGTTCACATGTTGAATACATCCACGATTGGTGCGCAGCAGACCTCCGGCTATCGGGAACTGGTCAAGGTGCAGATGGAATCCATTGATGGAACAGTGTCATACCCGCTCAAGGCATGGGTATATGATCGTGTGACCAAGAAGACGCAGGTCGTCGACTGGAGCCGGTACAAGTCCAGCTATGAACATCTAAAGTTCATAGACTTTCCCGAAATCTCCAGCACCACGGTCGACCTCCTGATTGGTCTAGACGTCATTGATGCCCACGCATCACTCGCGGAGTACAGAAGCAGCAGCGGTGGACCAATTGCCCGCAAGACGCCACTGGGATGGGTGTGTATGGGCCCAACGCCCAGTGCACCCAGTGATGACGAGTTGTCTGTCAACTTCGTGCATGCTTTATACGGCGAATGCAGCATAGACGGCCTGGTCCAGAATTTCTGGAATCTGGAGGCAGTCGGTATGAAGCACGAAGGCACCTACATCACCCCTGCAGAGAAGCTGGCTGAGGAGATCGTTGAAAAATCCATCAGCTTCCATGATCAGCGAGTCACCATGGCAATCCCATGGGTCCACAGCAACGGCGAGCCTGGTGTCAATGCTAATCGCGCCATGGCGGACCATCGCCTGCGCATGCTAGAGAAATCGCTGGACAAGCGTCCAGAGCTGAAGGCAGCATACGGCAAGGTCATCCGTAGCCACATTGACAAAGGCTATGTGCGCGCAGTGTCGGCAGCAGAGGTTGAGGCAGATGGCGACGACCAGTGGTTCCTGCCGCACTTCGCCATTGTACGAGACGACAAGGCCACCACAAAGGTACGTGTCGTCTTTGATGCTGCTGCCAAGTATGACGGCACGTCGATCAATGAGTGTATGTACCCTGGACCCGCTCTGCAGAATGACCTAGTGAAAGTGCTTCTGCGGTTCTGCAAGGAGCCAGTAGCGCTCACGGCGGACATTACCGAGATGTTCCTGCAAGTCGTGCTGGCTGAGCAAGACCGCCGATATCATCGCTTTGTGTGGGACTCACGCGTATACGAGTTCCAGAGGTTGGTGTTCGGCATCAAGGCGTCTCCGTACCTGGCATGCAAGGCGCTACAAGTGGTGTGCCGCGAGACAGCCGACAAGTATGACCCAGCCATGTTGCAGATCGTTGACCGAGACATGTATGTGGATGATCTGCTGCACTCTGCTGTCTCCGTACCGGAAGCCATCCGCACACAGCAGACAGTACAGGACATCCTTGAGCAGGGCAGCTTCCACCTCCGCAAGTGGCTCAGCAATAGCTCGGAGGTGATGGACGGCGTACCGGAAGCTGACCGCTCACCGCAACTCGTAGCTAGCATCAATGATCATGATCACTGTGCGCTACCATCAGTCAAGACGCTAGGCGTGATGTGGTCGGCAGAGGATGATACCTTCGCCTTTGAGTTCAAGCCGCCCGCAACAGAGAAGCTGACCAAGCGAGCCGTGCTGAGTAAGATGGCATCTATATTCGACCCACGCGGACAACTAGCTCCCTTCACGATTCGCTCTCGTGTCATGTTCCAGGAGCTGTGCATCCTCGGCGTGGGCTGGGATGATCCACTGGACGCTGAGCACACGCGGAGATGGACATCCTGGTTTAGCGAGCTGGGAGATCTGGCGCTGATCCGTGCGCCGCGCTGCTTCAAGTGTCCGGGTCGCGAGTCGTCTGTCGCTACATTGTCGCTGCACGTGTTCACGGATGCTTCAGATGCCGCCTACGCCGCTAACGTGTACGTCCGTGCTGAGTACCCAGACGGCAATGTGCGAGTGACGCTAGCACTCGCCAAGGCGCGTCCATGTCCCATTAAGAAGATGTCGATCCCGAAGCTGGAGCTGAAGGGTGCTGTGCTTGGTGTTTGCCTGGCCAAGACAGTGAATGACGCGCTAGATCTGCCGCAGGCTGATGCCACCTACTGGTCCGACTCGATGAA